CGAATCAGTCGTCGGCGCAAAGCCATTACACGGGCCATTTCGCCAGTCTTGACGGCTGCGTCGGCGCACGACAGGTGGACTCGAACGCTTGTCTGGCGGCCCGGCGCTCGCGGGCGCCTCGGCGCGGGTATTTTTGCCGCGGGCCCAAAGATCGGCGCAAGCCATTACACCGGGCCTTTCCGACGAGATGCCTCGTCATTCGACGTTGCAGAGCACGCAGTACTGTGTGCGGCGATTTAAAAATGCCAGTTCATTTAGGAGTGACATTTCGCCCGTCATGATAATTTGGACAATAGCTTCGAGTTTACGAGACAGGAAACGAAGGTAAATTGCTTTATCACGACAGAAAATGTGACAAACCTATTCCTGAAGAGTATTTTCCACTTATTATCCCAATCACTGAAATGACATTACTGAGAAAGTAGCTTGGCCACAAACGTTATTTGATGTACCCCTGAACAAAAATAGTAGCGGGAATCATGGTAGCTAGGCTATGAAATGTGTTTATATTGGAGTCAGCCTCTGTCTGTATTCACGACGATAAGCTTTGTGTTATATGGGACACAAAATTATAAATTGGGTGATTGACAGGGCTTTCTGCTTTGTTGACTATTTGAGCCATAACAAGCACCCTCGTAGTCAGAGCCGGGCGCGCCCGGCATCGATCCCGGTCCCGGCACCTGTTGCCGGCAGTTGCCTCGGGAATCGGCGAACGAGGGTGGCGCGACCGAGTGGGTGGGGCGGGGCGTGTAGAACGGCAACGCGCCCTAGGACCTCTCCGCCAGCTGACGGCCGCGTCCCCGTCTCCGCTTCGCCCCCGCCCGGCAATAGACACGCGGCCGCCCGCGGCAAAGCAACAGCTCCCGAAATCGATAACACGCTTTAAACGGTAGCGTACTCCAGCGGGCGGGCGCGCGCACGGCGAGCGTCTATGGCCGAGCGCCCGACCGACGCTTCCTCGCAGCCGGACCGCGACGCAGTTGGGGCCGCCCCCTCACGTCTCACAAAATGCATGCAAGGCACGATGCGCGGGCGTGCAGCGCGGCGCGGCGCGGCGGGGCGCACGCTTGCACGCCCACGCCAACTACAAACGGTACGCGCTTCGGGCAGTGTTGCGCGACGCATCGCGGAACTACCTTCCAAGAGTATCATGAAATTCGCATTTCGGTGATAGCCCGGAGGGCGCGGGTGGAGTTCTCTCACCTTTGACTTAAGAAAATCACGAGAATGAAGAACTCCCGTCCCTCGAGTGCCGCGCCGGTGGTGCTCTGTAGTTTTGCAGCAGCGACAAACACTAGTGGAGAAAGAATTTGCGATGCTTTGCAGCACACAAACAGCAAAAAACCTTCAGATGTGTAGCACAGCACTCAACACACAACACTCCCTAGTGTACCGACCTCTCGACTGGACCCAGTTCTCCGAGACGCGAACCACTTCGGGACGGACCGTGACATCACTTCCTGCCACTGAGTCCGTTTTGTGGTGTTTCACACCTTCCGCCACTAGATAGCAGCGACAGTCAATTCAAATGTCATCTACTGACGTACTGTGGGAGTCGACATTTTTCACGATATCTATCTCCGGAAATGAACTGTTATGAAGTGAATACACGAGTATTTTCTCGTAAAAAAAAGAAAGAAAACAACAAAGTGTTTGCAATTCCTTTCACTGCACGAACTGTTCTCGAAGCAGTGTGGCATGGCAACCGGCAGATAGTAGCACGGTAGAAATATTAATTTTTCACGCCGATTGTGCTGCGGGATGGCTTCATATGACAGTACTAGCCTGACGAATTGTGAATTCCCCCAGGCAATACCAGTTTGTAATTCAGATGCGCCATCTAGTGGGGAAAACGGAACTCTTATTCAGCAATACAGGGCGGGGTCAGGTATATTGTCCGAACTCTGAATTATAACTGAGAATGTTTTTCATTATTTCGTATTTGCTTTGTGACATAACCAATAAACATGACTAACATGATTAACATGAGAAACTTTTACAAATCTTGATTATAAAAACACTTTTTAAGTTTTACTTTGGAGTAAAAGGTAACTTTTCTGACAACAAAACTATTCAGATCGTCTCAGTATTGGTAGAGCAAAAATTTGTCATTACCTAAAATTTAATAAACATCGAGTTTCAAGTTTTCACTTCACACAAAATTTGTTGGCAATAATTTAATTATGCTTTTTTTAACCATAAACAAATTTGGCCTAATGTCAACATTTTTTGTAAGTAATCTTTGGAAGGTGCATAGGGGACACTTACCTTTGCCAAAACAAATAAGTAAACATGTTAATGTATCACAATAAATAATCTCATATATTTAAAATTATTCAAAATACAGTAAATGCAATAAATAAAAAAAAGTAACAAATACCATCAACATAGGGCAATATTTTTCAGTTTTCATTATAACATGGAATACAAACTTTCTCTGATGAAATAATTTTGTCACATTTAACACAAAAAAGTGATTTCTTTCCTGGAATTGCAATAATACTGTATCCTCTTGAAGCAAGTGTGAATCTATTCACTATTCCAAGTATGTGCTACATCTAGAGAATGTCAAAAACAAGCAAGCTCTGCTGTGAAGTTTCCAAGGCATCAGTCATTTTCTTCTCCACACAAGCATGTTTTATCTAATGAGTTTGCAAGAACAGAAGCAACTCTTCTAGTATTTTTCGTTTAACGTTTGATATATACTTTTTACATTGTAATGTTTTGTACAAAAGAAAGCTCAATACAAGGAAATAAAGTCATGGTTGCATGTACTTTCTAGCAACCAACAGCATATTAAAGTTGATTATAACTCCTTAGCATTGATATAGTGATTACACAGAAACATGTGGTGCAGCCAGGTAAACAACTTGCAATACTGATTTTTTTTTTCTCAAAGCTGTGCAATTATAAGAGTTCCAAATACCTGCAATAGGATTTGCCAGTAGGGAATGTTAGTGCTTACTGATTGCACCAAGGAAATTCACTTGAAACAAGGAAACATTTACTAAATCTGAACTGGCCTACCCTCATTAGTACAAAAACCCTCAGTAATGTTGTGCATTTCCCACATCACATTAAATTGGGCCCTTAGCTCAAATATTTATTACTTTATAACAAAATTCGTTCAGTAGACACCATTCTGAAAAGCGCATGAACAGGAAATATATACACCTTACTTTCTTGCCTAGTGCAAATGTCTTCTCCTCATGGATCAGACAAGTAGGCGGTAATGCTTGATATATCAAACTCTGTATTGAATTGAGAACACAAAATCTCTTCACTTCCTGTAGATAGGAGACATCTAGAACATAGTGCCTTACACACAGCATGCTGCACTAAAACTCTCACACAGCCAGCGAGTAGTACCCCATTTTAAGAAATAGCCAGTTGCTCTACCTGACCAAGGGTGACCATCGCCCCACCCTCAGACACAGTGCTGCTCTCAGAGCAGGGTTGAAGGTGCAACTGCGAGCAAGACTATTCTCCACACCTTTTAATCTAGGCCTTCCTCTTGAAGCTGCACCTTCCACTAACCAAGAGCAATCAGACTTTGAAATATCATGGACTGCTATATACACTACTATAAAACACATCTACTACTGTTTCCCAATGCATGAAGCAAATACTGAGTTACTGGAGCATGAATCCTACTCGCTTGAGTCCAACATCCAAATCAACACAGGAGATATCAAGGTGAATAGCAGGGGAAAGTGAGTTTGCTGCAGACAAGAAAGAACTGAAAGAAGATTATCATCAACCGATACATTAACTGTGTTTTGATAGGAAGTGTATACCACAAACAGAAACGCAAGGCCCTCTTTCTGTGAGGATACCTGGCCTGGAGCCTGGTCACATCGGGACCAGGGGTCCGCTGCTCCAGGCCTGGCAACTGCCACTTTGCTTTTCGCTTGCTGCACATTAGCACATGCAGCCACCCTCCGAGTCCTGCTGGTCGTTCTGCTGTGGAGGTTGTGTCTGCAGGTCAACGGCTGGGTGCTGTTAAGGGAAATACCAGAACTTGCACAAGCTACTGTTCTACCAGAATCAAAGGAAAACCACATTATAATACATATTCACATAAACCTACAATTATATCTCCCAGTTCTAGTTGAAACTAAGTAATATTCTGAAAACTCCACAAGAATTAACATTTGAGAAAAATATCAATTTTGAAATCTGATATTTAACTAAAAAAGTTTCCAGGACATCTTTGGATACTTTCTTATGCCATAGTTAAATTATAGAAAAAAAAGAAGAAAACTATAGACAAAGGATCATGTTCTCCACAATGCTCAAAGGAGTTTCTCCTGCTTGAATACAACTTTAAGCAAAAACATGCACATTGCCTCCTTTCCAGGTGCAAGGCATATGGGAATAGTAGCACTGTATAAATGTGCAATACTACAAGCCAGGGCAGACAGGCAAAGAGAGAAACAACACAAGCAAGCATGCAAGAGCAAAGAAGTTTTATTAAGAGGCATCAATAAATAATTCCAAATAATATAACTGTACAGAATTTCAGACAAAACAGCACAATTTTACAATATATGGCTTTTGTTCAGTGATTTTTTTAAATAATAATAATAAAAATAATAATATTAGCATTAGGTGAATCAATAAGTGGAGCTGCAGCCTAGAGGAGAATACTAAAATTGCCAGGTTTTACAATATTATCAATATTCATTTCACCAACTCCTCACAGTGCACCATATGCTATTTACATTACAACCTATATTAAGTAACAGATTATTAAAGTGAAAAAAGCAAGGATATCTGACAATACAAAAATTGTTTGAGTTACACCTGTGAGGTTCAAACACAAGGAAATGGCTAATATTATGTTCTATTCTAATGTGGGAAATTTTAAAATACATCACTACCTGGTTTGTTACAGCTGCACACAGATACTGACAATTACACTTCTTTCAAAGTCAGAACATGAATCATTTGACGTAGCAACAAGAGAATACAGTAGCTGTGGTAATTGTGTATTTCTTGCATTCCATGAACTGTCAAAGAATGTAATTAAAAATAATTCTTCCCACATAAATTGGTCAGAAAAAGTGCCTGTTAAAATATCTAATAAATATTTAGTCAAAATTACAAATAAAGTGGGATTCTGTGGGGGTATTATGCAAATTAATATCCTCCTTGCCAAATGAATTACTTCAATTATTAACTAGATTTTTCAGTGAGTAAAAACTGCATTAAGAATGCCAATCTTGAAAACGCAGTGTAGTTAATCTTTACACCATCCACTTCCATATTTCCACAAATTTTTAGATCTGTGGAAAAGTTTGATGCAATGTCCATCATGTCAGTGTTGTGCATTGCTCTGAAACACCTATCTGAATTATTTACAATATTTCCTGAAAGATATTCCAGATCAATACATAATAATAGATAGTGCAATAAAGAAACTTTTTATAGCACAATCTTCACAAATGCCTTGGCCAAAGATGTCTCTCTCTCTGGATACTGAAGGCAAGCAGCAACCTGTTGGCCTTTCACTCATCCAATTCAAAAGTCCTGATGCCCACCACTAACACGCACAGCCCCCCTCTTGTGCCCTGACTTCGTTGGGCGTGTCTTTCAACACTACCTCTTGCACTACACAACATATTAAGGAAAATAACAATAAAAGAAAATAAAACTCTAAGAAATAAATATAACAAAATATAACACACATACTCAGAAATATATAATTCATTGGAAAATTATTAAACGAATGAATTGAAATTCCAACAAATCTTTTGATTTAAAAAACTCAAGATTAAGATAATATAGAAAAAGGATTCATTTATAAAGAACCAAAAATTAATTGAATCACAAATAAGCAATAACGTTTAAAGAATTATACTGCAGTAAATTAACTTTCAGATATTGTAGTACGTTAGTGAATGATGCCAGGAAGCTTCAACCTTTAAATGTTGAGATTGTTAAAAAACAATTACATATCACATGCATCCCAGAAAAAAAGAATTATAATATGTGATACTGACAAATATTTCCAATTGCAAAGTTGAATTCTGTGGAACAAAGTAAAACAGTTATTAATTAGAGTTTATATTAAAATGCATTTTTAAACTTCAGTTGTTTCTTTGGTAAGAAAAAAAAAAAAAACACGAAGATGAATAACAAAGTTACCTACTAATGATACAACACACAACCAGCTGAAAATAAATCTACATATCCAGCCAGCCATACTAGTTTCCCGCCAAAAGACAAGTCTCTAACATGCTTTTCTTACACATTCACCAAAATTCCAGCAAAACATGCAGTAAATTTGTCAAAATTTCATTGAAATACAAGCTCTTCTCTACACTTTCCAATTTTTTCCATAAGCTCCATCCCATTACATAATTGTATTAAGTGCCTGGCAAAAAAGGAGGTGCAACAAAAATGCACTTTGTAACTAAATAGTATGATACAAACATAACATTCATTGCAAGACACCACAGATGTGACACTAAAAACATCAGTTCACAATTTGATAAGAGACATGCACAATTATTTATGGATATCACACCCACAAAATTTTTAAATTTTAGTTAATTTGACATAATAGTTCTGATAGAAAATTGATTTGCTCACATTCCATCTGAATACAAGCAAAGCTGCATAATGTAATGACAAAGCATGCACCACCAGAACATTTTTAATTAGAAACTGCTAATTCCAATAAAAGGTGAGTGCAGAGGAAAGGATACTGTCTTCAGGAGGTTTATTCTCTGTGGAGTCCATGCCTGGAAGAGCAGCAGCAACTCGTCGGAACAGCTGAAACAATTCTTGAAGTTAATTCAGAAGTACAATGATTCATGTCTGCTATATAAACTATTTAAAAATGTGTGTTAAAATATTTAAGTGAAATTCACATTTTCAGAAGAGATGAAGGATCAAAACCGTTGAAGAGAAAAGTTCTACCATTCTTTGTCAGTTACAACAACACAAAAATGACTAATAAACTACTAAAAAATTCAGAAAAGAGTTATCAGAATAGTACATGCTGAAAACATTTCCACCTTTTGCAAACTGCAATATAAGTCATAAAGGTAAAAAACAAAAATCACGAAGGCCAATTTTGGTTACCAATAAACTTTTTTTACACTGAATAATTAATTTACAATCCAGGAACAATATATCTACGAAAGCTGTAATTAGCCTTGAATGAATATCCTCTATAAACATGAAGCCTTCATTATGGGTTAAAATGTCAAGTATGAGAAAAGGAATATTAGCATTCTTATCAACAAGTCTTTTTGTATTCGATATTTTCAAATCAGAGATTACACTCCTGAAAAGCTGGAAATAAATATGGTAAAAATAAATCTGCAACAAGACATAAATGATAACAGTGAAGGTATCTATCAACATGCGACTAACAGGTACATAGTAAACATGTTTACCCCATTTACAAAAATGTAAACGACTTGCCAGTGATTTTGCCAGTCAATTATTCAAACCCTTATGATTTATCATGAGTTAACTTTGCTTTCAGTGAAAATACTCTCAGCCTCAACAGAAATGAAGTTCATCAACACATTTACTCTACCATTGTATACATTAGTGTATTTCAAATGTTCATAAATACCAGTACTGATAATCAGTAATCGTTAAAATGAAGTTGATATTTCCTAGTAAGCAAAGAAAACAAAGATAATTAGCATATTTTTTGGAAGACCTGAAAATTTGTAACATTATGCCCTTTTATCTAGTTTAAAATTTTATTACTTTAGTATTACCTAGTTTATCTAGATATAAATACATTTTTCTGCTACTAAGTTGACAGAAAAAAACTAAAAAACAAATCATTTCAAAGAAACAAAAGATATCCAAAAAATATTGAATAGGTGATCAAAATAAATTGTACAAAGATTTTAACAGGTAAGATTTCCCCAAACCTAAAATTTCCAATTATATTTTGCTCATTATTTAAGGAGACAAAAGAAGATCCCTTTTGCAATATTTTGAATTCTGAATAAAACCAAATGTATTATGTAATTTAACAGAACTGCTGAAACTGAAATATTACCTTCACTGGACTTTACTGTTTAATTAGAGCATATTCAAACAGCAGATTCTGTTATGTTATATTTTATCAATGATAAAATGTCTTTGTGACTACTAAATCTCACCTGCTTTACATTATATCCAGCCTTGGCACTGGTTTCAATGAACATTACGTTCAATTCTTTTGCTTTACGTTCCCCTTCTTCAGTAGACACCTGGCGCTTGTCAGACAGGTCAGTCTTATTGCCTACAAGCATGATGATGACATCACTTCCACGTTCTGTCCGTACATCATCTATCCACTTCGAAGTTTGATGGAATGAATTAGCATCTGTCAAAAATAAATAAATAAATAAATAAATATGAGCACATGATTTATCTAACATGCTCATGAAAGAAACAAAACAATAAGTTATTATAATAAGTTAACATTGGTTTAAAGAGCTCAAAACAGAACACACATGAAAATGTTTTGAATCCTTATGAGAACAAAGTAGTTCAACGGCATGATCAAACCAGGAAATCCCACAGTATTTTTAAAGCATTTTTGAGGTGTTCCTAATCTCACAAATAATTAAATTAAAATTTAATTTTAAAACTAGTGGTGCAACGACATGACACACTGCACATCTTGCATTGCATTGCATTGCATTGCATTGCATTGCAACATTTGCGCATATTATAATAGTTACAAAGTAACTCGTGTACTACCTTTATGTCACCAACTCTGAAATATCTCAAAACTTTTCACCGAACTGTTTGAAATCAGTATTTCAAAATTAACTAAAATACACAACAATGATAAATTAATTGTTATAAATCATACTAACAAAGTTACCTGGCCTACACAACTTTAAATTTGCTTTGCTTCTGCTTTCTCTCACACACACTTACACACAAATAAACCTTTCCCTTAATTGATTAACTATACATAAAATATTGTAAAAGAACAGAGTAAATTTTCAATACAATGATTAAATCAATTAAATTAATTCAATATCTACACCAGTTTACTTTTCGTTGCAATAAGATTGTTTCAGATACTGTTTTTAAAAAATCAACAACTTTTATTCACGTTTTCTCAATTTTTGAAAAGTAATTAGTTTAATTAAATACTGATATTCTGAGGAAACCAGAATATCAGAAACAAGCACAGAATATCTTCACAAGAAAATTTCTGTTAAGAGATTTGGAACTATTGAGACTTTGAAAATGAGCTTTCTTCATATAGTTTATAAATACTATTGAGATTTTATAAAAATTCACAAGAGATCATTTGAAGCTATTGTGTTCAGTACACATTCGGACATTATAATAAGAAAAACACGTAATGACAATATTACTGTACATTAGGGAAATATTTTATGAATATTTAAAAAAATTTCAATAGAATTGAAATGCAATTCAGTAGTACATTGAGAATTAATAATGAAAATGGCTCTGATGGAAGAGAGAGGTATTTCAGTTCAGCCCTTTCATATGTTATATCAGACTTTAATAAAAAGGTGTATTAGATCTAGAGAAAGGGAAGGGAAAAGGAGAGGCAGAATGTATCCTAACAAGAAAAATCTTCGAACTCCATAATAATCAGAAATGCACTGGAATCTCAATGCACATAGCATCTCATTTGTCCATGGCTCTGCTGGCATCAATTCTTATTGCAAATGGCTTTCGCACCCCTTTACACTGCAATCAGTAAAATACCTAGGACGTGCCCAATTTACAAATTGCTTTACACTTCTTGCCTTCAGGGACAGATCCAGCCGATCATTTTGGAGGGGGCCAATACAGATTTTGTTAAATAATAAACATATTTATTATATTGTATATTATTTTTGTAGTGTATACATGATACTATACAATATTATGGTTCAAATAATTACATAATTTTAACATAAATAAATATTTAAATTAATTTTGCTAAATAAGGCTAATTAATTAATTTGCTAATTAATTTTGTTAAAGGAAGATAACAAACAAAAACTCTAAACTTCTGTGGTGGGGGGGGGGGCGGCATGGCACCTATGGCCCCCACCCCCTGATCCACAACTGCTTGCCTTGGCCTATTTTATACACCATATTTCACACAAAGTTACCTATGAAATTAAGTTTTTAAAAATTTACTTAAGAATAAAATAAAGCACGTCCATTCCTTCAAAATTTTAAACTTTGTATAATATAACTTCATTTATGCTTCATAATTCACATTTTTCCATTCATGAATAAAGTCCTTGAATTACATAATCTACTAAGATGCTATAACAAATACAATAGATACTTTCTATCATAAATAATGCCGTATTTTTTCTGTATCTTCTTCATTGAATACACTTGCCCAAAATCAAGAAATCACAATATCACTGTTTCCAGAAAAAGTGATACAGGAATGAGTAAATAATTAAGTTAGATTAGATTAGATTATATCATGTTTAAAACTGTGCAAAAACTTCAGAGAACCATTCAACTAGAATGTCACAATCACGCCCAGTCCAATGACATTCCTGAAACGAAAATTAGCAGCGCCACGTATCCTTAGGCTATGCAATCACCGGCGTTGACATCTCAATCTGCTCGGTTCCGGCAACAGCATTGAACCCCCCCACGCGCCGCGTCCTTGCGCCGTAGACGCGCTGCGGGGGTGAGGACAGGGTCAGGGCTGAAGGGGACGGGGCACTGCAGGGACGACAGAGCCCGGGACGAAGAGGAAGATGCTCAGCTCCTACTACGATGTGTGGATTCCACGTGCGGGAGAGGGATGGAATTGTCATACTGCAGACGTGGAGAAATCCTGAGCAAGGGGGAATTGATGTGGTCAAGATGGGAAAGTGATTTGCCAAGGGAGAAATTGGCCAGTTGGACAAGAGCTGCGACCGTAAGGGAGAGCGGCCGAAAAGAACAGACAGCACGGGAATACTCGTCGTGAGAGGACAAAAGAGTTCCAGAGGTGAGAGGACATGGTGTTTGAAAGAGGGGAGAAGCTGCACACTGAGTTACGTCCTAAAATCCCCAAGGAAGGGGAAAGTGATGGAATGAGGTCACAGTGAAAGATCGTGAACCGCCCATTCTGTACCATAATCTTTATCCCAATAGGATAGACGCCACAGGATGACATATAAACCTGGGAAGACTACAAAAAGGGCGGCAGGACGGTATGTCCGAGAAACCAGATCGAAAGAAACGGAGCTGAAGGAAGAG